TTTCCACTTCGTATTTCTTCTCTTTCTCATTACCTTGGTTATTCTCAGATGCCTGCAAAATATTAGTGTCCAAAACAATAGGCACAAAAATACGTTCGTTTTGTAATTCAGACTTAGTTGAAGACATCACAATAGCATCTTTCTTGGTATCTCTGAAAATCTCATCGATTCCATTCTTCATCCTTTGAATATTATTTTCGAAAATTTCAGTAAAACTCATGGGTACCAATTTCATTTTCCAACCATTATGTCTAAATGTGCATGTGTTAGCAACAAAATTATGCGATCCATTATTATCATATACCTATGGTTGACCAAACAACAAAGAACATGCTTGCATAGGGACAAGATCAAAATTGCCAGTATCATGGTAATTTCCAATCGAAAAGTTTATTCTCACAATTCTATTTACCTTGAACTTACCACAAAAGTTGAACCATTTGATCTAATATGGATGATGATGCGGTTGTGTAGGCAACTCAAGTTTCTCAACCAAATCTGAACTCACAAAGTTATTGCAACTCTCACTATCGATTATAGTACGACATGCTCTATCCTTAACCACAAACTTTGTTTCAAATAATTCGTGGTACTGCCATTGCTCCGCTTTGTCCATTTGAGAACTTAGCACTTGTTGCACCCATGTACTTTCATCATGTGCACCTTGTTGGTATCGCTGATTTTGAGCGTCACTCATACATGTCATTGCAAACACAAAAAACAACAACAAACAATGAAGGTTATCCCTAATAATCTGCTATGCGGTGTAGTGGTGCTCCTCAACAACTCAGCCAAATGGAGCACCTTACCAAGCTCTTACAAGTGTCTTACCAGCAATGCTAAGGATGGTACAACCGGTGGCTAGTTCGTGACACCTTGAAGGACGTGAAGTGGCGATTGCAAGGATCAAAGCGGTGCTGACCAGAAGTATATATGTGTAGCTTGGGAGGCACAATATATAGTAGCAAAAGAACGCAATTATGCTAATCAGAAAATGCAAAGTTGAATAATAGTTCAAAGTACTAGTCAATGTGCTGGCCTAGCCTAGACTCAACTCTAGCTCAAGCAAACACCCGACACCCCTAAAGACTAGATATGAATCAATGCACAACTCTGCACTCTGATAACATACTCAAAGGATGAATGATTTTTTTTCTTTCTTAGTGCGGCTTTTTTTAAGCACATTTCTGCCTTTTTTTTCTTTTTTTTAGGTGCAGCTTTTTTTTTCTTTTTTTTTTCTTTGCACCTTTCCGCCTTTTCTTTCTTTCTTTATTCTTTTTTTTACTTTTTTGTCAACAAAAACTGACCACTGACCTCGAACAGGGACTCAAATATAAATCTGAATATTACAGGGACTCAAACGCAAAGTGCAAAACTAAAATTGGATCATCTCAAAAATGGATTGCTCATATCATGTAGGTTCCACTTTTATAAAAATATCTCAAATCCACTACTTAACAGATCTATAAAGAGGGAAATACGGACAGTCACGGATAGATCTGATCTGATACGGAGTCTCTCCTCACGCGCACACAGTACTCCCCTCATGCGCACAGTACACGCGCAAAGTACGGCAACTCCAAAACCGTTTGATAAAAATTTCTCTAAATCACAAAAACGGAAACCCGACGACAAGACGATTCAATTTTTCAAGGTCCCAGCAACAACTGACGAGATGAAAAACTGGACCCAAAACTGACGTACAACTCACACACTTGAGTGATGAGCCCTAGACCTAAGTGATGAACAGATGCAATACTCAAAACTAAAAATTAAATCTAAAACTAAACCAGCACTCGACATGACGATGCAACCTAGAATTCAACAAAGCAAAATCTAATAGAACAATGCAACGGCTCAAATTGTCTAGGTAAAGAATAAATTTTTTGTGTGGCAATTTTCTGGTTATGGGAAGATAAATTACCTAACGGGCAACCGCGCTCTGATACCAACTTATGAGGGAGTTAGGTCCCGATCTTTCGATAGGTATAGATAAACAATTGATTTGAGCGGAATCGCGACACAACTCAATCCAGCTTCTGAACGAACAAGCTACTGAGCCCCGCAATTGCAGCACCACGTCTCCTCTGGTTATCAACCATGCCGAAACCCGGTTGACCTCACCAAGAAGGCTAATCCCTGCATGCGAATCGAAGAACACAAGCAAGAACAAGATAGATTGCAACCAAATTGCATATGAATGATTATGCACTCGAATTTGGGGTTCCACAAACCGATCTAGGGGTGAAACTGTTCTTGACAGAATAATCTAATCAAAACCCAACTCTAAACGATGACGGCTACTAAATAAATGTGATTAGGGACGTCCTAGGGTTGCCCTAGGGCGCACACCCCCTTGGGCTAAGCCCACGACACAATTACAAGGCCCAAAACCCAAATCAGATTCGGACTGGATGAGATACGTGGCTTGTTTTGCAGATTCCCGGCAGCTCGGTAGGAATTTTAACGTGGGACCAAAACCATATGAAGGTAGACTCCATAAGCTTTCCAACAAGTACTCATAAGCCCCAAAATACCTTCTAGATCAGCGGCTAGGTCCATTTGAAGTTGATGCTGTTAGGAGGCCCGAATCCGAATCCAAAACGTGTAGAACTTTATCTCTTGTCTTCTATGGACCAAAAGTGACGTGGTGAGATGAAGGAAGACTTGGAAAAGGTCTTGGTTTGGTCCCCAATCAACTTCTTCAATCATCCATGCATTCCTTACGCTCAATCTCTTTTCTTTCGCCTAAGCAAATACCTCTGTAAACAAAAACACACGAAACTCATTGTGCAGCAACGTTTGTTCAAATATATAACAAATAAATCTAATGTAGAACATATGCACCTTTAGTTGATTAATACATAAGGTAGTCATGGTTATATCCGAGCTAGTTGTGTCCTCATCACCGTGAAACATAGAAGCATTGCATCACTGTCAACCACATTAGTGCACGTGTTTTCCACCTCTTATAATTAGAACCATCAAATGCATGTGGTTTCAGTGCAGCAGCAAAGCCAACTACCGAAAATGACCTATCAGGTTTTTGGATTGTTAGAAATATAGTCATATTTCGGCATATTTTAATCTAAAATATTAAGACAATAATCATGGCATGAACAATATGGGGTGATCTAGTGATAAAATCTAACATAACCAGGAGCATGCTTAAGATATAATAAGCATCATCATCATACAAAGAACGCAATAGAATTGCGACTAACATAGATATGAAAAAAATGAAATAACAGTAAGCGAAGGTTATACCCTGTGAATGTCCCTCCGCTGGATTGTGTGGCAGAACTGCCTCCGTTGATGTTGTCGTTCGCAGCGGCTCTGGCTCCCGGCGTGCCATCTCTAGGTGCGGCAGTAGCAGCGGCGGCGGAAGACATTATGTAGCAGACGACGGCGACGAACAAAAGACGAGGAGCAGTCGTGCGGAAGCACTCCCCAAAAACCTGATCACCCGCCTACCCGATGCAGATCTCAAGCAAAGGTGTGGTTCCGAAGGCCCTACTCGTTCCAATCTCTCGTGCGCGCAAGCGATCAGAAGCGGGGAAGCAGAACAGTAGCAGCACCAGGCGCGCGCGAGGAGGAGGAAGAACACCAGATGGAAAGTAAGCAGCGGAATGCGCGCGCGAGGAGGAGGAGGAAGAACACCAGATGGAAAGTAAGCAGCGGAATCTGATCGGATTAGCTCTTTCCTTATAGCGCAGGAGCGATATCCGCCCGTTGCCACAGTAACGACGCGAGATCAATTGGAATTGAATCACATGCCTGTTACTTTTCCTTATAGCGCAGGAGCGATATCCGCCCGTTGCCGCAGTAACGACGCGAGATCAATTGGAATTGAATCACATGCCCGTTACGGAGGGAATCTCTTGGAATTGAATCGCCTGCCCGTTACAGAGGCAATCTTGGGATTGGTCCGTTGCAAAAGGATAGAGATAGGTGCATCGCAACGCACGCCTCGGCCCGACGCGCGCGCGCGTGTGGCTTTCCGATCCCCACCTCAACCGATCAACAGGGAGCCTCCAATAACTCCCTATTTAAGTTGAGATACTCCTCGTTTAATTCCCAAGGTGGTATTATTATCCTTAACATTTATTATGGGCCTTTGAGATTTAATAGAATAAATCGGGCCTAGCCCATTTATTATAACAGCGCCTACATGTTCGAGGAGTGTGGGCAGCCCACCGACAACGACGATGATGCCTCCCCATGCCCGGCAACCTTCCTCGCCATCTCCTCTGACATCTTCCACCCCGTCATCTCCGTCTCAGGCGTAGACATCGTGCTGCGGATGTGGAAAGCTACTTCCTCACCAGCATCCGGGATTCCATTGCTGACATGACAGGGATGACGCCCAACCTATTGATGCCGTCGAGAGGAGTTGGGGTAGAGAGATTGGGGATTTGCGGTGGAGAAGGAAGAATATAGAGGTGGAGGATGATATGTGGGCCCACTTCATTTTTAATTTTTTGATGACTAGGATGCCATGTGAGCGCCACGTCAGCGAATATCATTATCAATACTGTTATAGGAGTCAAAGTACATCAGATTTAATATTTCAAGAATCATGATATCCGTTATTGCGGTTAAGGGATAAGAATTAGATTAGGCCTATATTTGACAGTCAAGTGGCGCTGTGGACGCCTTCATGTGCTGTGCAGGTTTTTTTTAATGTTACATTCATTAACATCAATATGAATATGGAAAATGATAGAATGACTTACATTGTAAAACGGAGGGAGTATAATACATGTGGGCGCTTTGGCAAGAGGCGAGTGGATACAGTCACAGAAATGTTAATTCTTTCGATTTGTTGATAGATGGCAAAATTTATGTGTTTCTATTCACTTATCCACAGGCGGGGATAAGTTTCTACGGTCCCAAACACCGCCAGACAATTAAAGAACATCTGAATGGCTATGACTACAATTAAAGAACATCTGAATGGCTGACTGATAGGCAGCTAATCGCTAATCAGCTCAACGATCTACCACAAACAGCCATTACTCTCAATCGAAAAACTATTTTAGATACACCCCCGTGTAATTTCTTAACATCTGCCAAATAGCAAGAGAAACAGAGTTCCGTGTCAAACCCAACCAACCTGCATAGCATATATCAGGATTTTCGTTACATGAGAATAATACACCAGTGTACATGGCAGGACCAGTACTGACTAAAAGGTCCTGGAGTATTTCTTGATCTCATATAAGATAGAGGATATGGAAACCAGGTCCTTGTTGAGAGCAGAGCCACCATTGATCTTCTTGACACACTCGGTGATCCTTGTATAGTACAGCAGCAGCTGCGTGAGTGCCGCTTTCAGGATCTCCATTCCGCAGAGGAAGTTGCTAAAAGATGTAATGACATCCTTGTGCATAAGCTCAATTGCAGCTTTCCACCGACCGGCAAAATCCTTGACTAATGGCTCGACATCACTAACACTGGCCTTGTCCGAGCTTGATGCTGTGTCTTCAGCTGGTAAAACACACACATAAAGATGAGATGCCGTTGCAAAAAAAGGAACCAGCTTGATGTTGTAACAGGGATCAACTTACACGGGCGAGATTTCACAAATTTGATCAAATCACTGAAATGCTCCAGTAGAAGTTCCTCCTGCATAAATATTTGTTCATTATATCAGCTTACCCCTAGAAAATTTTAACTATCCACACAGCTCCCTCTTTACAAATATTGTCAATAAAGTTCAAACGAAAGGAGAAAAAATGGACATCTGTTGCCAGTATTAAAAATCAATGGGACTAGCCTCTGATTGGCTTCGTAATCCTAAGAAAAGAAATACTAAACTGACAGTAGGCCTCCCACTATTTTCTCTGGACATGTAAAAATTCTAGAATCAAATGGAAAATACAGAGGTCGTACTAAAATAAATAGACTAGGACAAACGGCAAGTGGTCACACAACACATCACGGTTTGGTGCCCTGGCAAGTTAGGATGCAACCAAATAGCCCCTAAACAGATGCAAACAGGTACCCCCTAACACAGTAAAACCAATGAAATGTGCCCACGCAGAAATTATATTCCATTATTTCTATCTCAGAGGGCACATTGCATACCACATATACTGAAATATTGCTCTTAAGAACCTCCTCAAAGTGAACTTGTGCTTTTCCACCCTCAGTGCCAGCTTCCTGTATGACAGCTCAGAACAAATTTAATAAGATGATACTAGTAGATTGCACCACAGTACAACTTAATGAAGCTTGAACTTTCACCGCCTACCTTCAGTATGGAAATCGTTAAATCATAGTTGTTTATCAGGAAAACAGTTTGCAACTTTTGTTTAGGGAACATCTTAGCCAACTTAACAAGCAATTCCTCAACAGCCATCCGCAACCGCTCGAGATTAAGATCAAGCTGCAGATATAAATAACATTATACAATTCCCATAAGCCATATAAAGGGGTTGCTTATCGCATGGAATGGGAATCAATAATTCTTTTCAGAAATCGGGTTGAGTTGAATTTGATAAACTAACCTGACCATCTCCATATTCAACATTGAGATGCACGAGGGATGCTGTAAATTCAGCATATCTCCTCATGACATAGTGAGGATGAACATCATCCTCCCAAAGAGTCTTAACATTTGCATTTCGTAAGCTGTTCAAATGCAAATCAAACACCATCTTGAAGCGAGGCCAGAGTGATAAGTTAACCTGTGCAAGTGTGCAATGTGCACAAATGGACTTGATGAATTTGAAACAAAAGAAAGATTCATGGCGAAGCATTGGCTATCCAACATAGTGACCCTTAAAAAAGTCGATACAAGTATAAAATTTCAACAAAAATGCGACAAAGCACACACCTTGTCTAAGTAAGAGTCCAAACATGGGATTCGCCGCTTAAACATGATTAGCTGCATAAAACATCAATTCCACTTAGATTTCTCACATATAACAATATAAAGGGTTCTACCTAAAATGGAGAGAGAGAGAGAGAGATGTGGCCTCCTTCAAAGCAAGGACAGTCAACAAGGGCATGAATGGTGATATTTCTAAGCTGCTTCAATAGGTAACTCAAAGCGTACCTGATGCTGATGAATTATTCGGATCATAAGCATTATGCCGATTGCGTCATAACAGTTCAGGAGCACAGCATTGAAATGTTCATCAACAACTTGGATAGGTCCTAAGGGAAAAGTAACAGACATCACTTGTTTGATGTTTATGTTAAACATTTAAAACACATATTCATTGTCTATTTTCAGGTAGATGACAGTGGTAATAGTATAAAATGGCTTGACTTGATATATTCAATTAATCAGTTTGGATTATCTATGACATGGAGCATTTATATGTCAGACATGATAAAATAAATGGATTATTTCCTAAAGTTAAATAAAATGAACAGATAGTATATTACTTTGGTTACTAGTGTAATGCAAAGCATATTCTCATTTTCTATCAACTCCTGAAATCTCATCCTGCACATTTTCTAAATGACTGAGAAGAGTTATGCTCACTTGCTCAGCCAGAAATGTTCATAACAAAGACTGGACTTTTAATTTTCAGCAAAATTTAAATCAGGGTAACCACAAAACATCTGAATTAAGATTGGCCTTGACAAACTAAATGTATGGTAGTTATTCAAGCCACTGTGGCAGAACAATATTGATCAAAGTATGTCTCAATAGTATGACCAGCAAAAACAGGCATATAAATGTATGGTAGTCTTTGCACGCATTGTGCTTCCTACGGGTAAAGGACGATGTAAAAGCGGTTTGGGGGAGTATCTACGCATCTTTGAACTTCAGGTTCTAAAATGCCAACTCCATCTGGGTTGATTCATAATTTTAGGTGGATCAGATCCAAACAGGATGTAATAGCCACATGGACCACTATTTACAAATAATAACTGCCTTGCGGTTTGAGCCATCATTTATGAGTGTCCCGTCACATCCCTTTAAATCTGATCCATCCAAACCTCATCAAATGGTAAATATGAATGTTCATTCACATGCTAGAACTGAGCGATGGATTTACACTAGATGCTTCTCCATTTAGATTACTACATCCACATAAGATAGACATTCAAAAATAGGACAAAACAAACCTGCAAATATGTCATTAAACAGTGATTCTTCACCAAAGAAATCATCAGAGAAAAGGTACCTGCAGTTAGTGGATATCTATCAGGTTGCCACTCATTCAAAAGCCATTACGAATAAAAATACAAGGGAAATCAGGCTTACTCTGAAGTAGCTGTATCAATCAAAAGTTTTTGCAAGCTTCTGAAAAGAACTTCATATGGATATTTTTGAGACTTGGCTTCAGCTATGTGAGGTATCAAGGCAGGCTGATCAATTTCCTGACATTCCAACAAAAGCCCACATGACAGACAGAAATGATGCTACTGTGCTGCTTCAACAATAATATGGTACTCAAAGTTCAAAATGGCAAGATCAAAATCTAAATAAAGTTAGGTGATGATTCTGTCCAAAACTGCAACGAACATATATAGGCATGAAACAGTCAATAGCTTCTGTGAGAAGAATTCAAAGCATGTTAAAATAATTCTTTTTGGTACAACAAGCAACAAGATTTTCTTGTCTGATCAACTATGGCAAGAACATTGCATTCATAGAATTTGACTGGATCTATTACAGTAGAGAAATGTATCCACAAATTTGATTATGGTGCTAACTGGATCCTCAATCCTTAAATTTGTGTTGGCATGTCATTTGTGTCCCTAAACTTGGGGGTTGCATGGCACAATCATGTTACTGAACTTGTATAATCACCATAAATGGTGTGGGCAAGTCCATATGTCTTGTTACAATGTTAGAGACAACTCAAAATGTGAACAAGACAGGACTAAGTGTCTGGCAACTAGCCACATTTACTCTAGGATTATATTTATGGTCATGTGCCAATTATGCACTATAAGATGATTTACAATGATAGGTGTCTCGTGGCATGTTTGACCGCTAACTAAATAGCTTGTTATGTTAGTCCATTAGTTCTTGTTGGAACCTTATAGCATCACATGACCCAGTTTAGCTCCCAGCCTCCGTGTCATGCTTAACAAGTAGAATGCAGTTGAAGACAACCATAAGTATAGGATCGACTGATTACAGCTAACAGTGAATTACTTGACAAACTACATTATCAAAAAAAAAAAAATCTAAATGTCAGTTGGAGTGTCAGGAATAAAAATACCTTTAATATGTTTATCCTTTCACCCAAAGCAAAGACAGAAGAACGGGTCTTCAGAGATTCTTTTCCCATGGAGAAAAGGAATCCTGTACTTCTAGTTTCAACTCCAAGTAAGTCGGTAGAGGTTGCTATGTCCAGTTGTAGTTTCTCTAATGCTTGAATATACGCACGGAAATGTGCACTCAGCACCTGCAAATTGGTAATATGGTAAAAATGTCAAGAAAGCATTTGCTCCAAAATATCTAAGAAGACACACAATGCAAGTGCTCTTGTTATTGTTATCGACTAGTACACTGCATTGCACAAGTCAAAAGTCATCGCACACAGACTAGTAGTGTTCCCTAACCTATGCAGAAAGTTTCAAAAGTATGTACATATGGAATTATTTTTTTATGAGTAAGGTTGATACCACAACAAGCACAGCAGTACATACAGAGAATTGCAAAAAGAACAGAATGAAGAAAAACGGACAGGGATGCAACTGTAACAATCCATCGCCCAAAAGTCACCAATGACCAAACCCCACCTTGGGGAAGCAGCACAAGCGTGAAACAGCTAGCTTGGGCCTTTGAACTCTTTGCCTAGGATTAACACATAGTTGCTAAATTTGGACCCTCAAGCATGCCTGCTACTACTCTACACTTTGTACAGCAGTGCAGTAGTAAACCTTACCCTGGCAATGATTGGGACACAAAGCTGGACCAGGATCCAGGTCATACATTGATAATCTAATACCTATTCACACCATAGCTATGAGATTTATTATAACATTCACCTTGTTCATGGTATCAATATAAGCTGCACGAACTTCCGCATATATCTCCTTAGCATGTTCCTTAAGAAAAACTATCGTGTACCTGCAATGGGGAGCACAAACGAAAATCAAGAAATTGCACACCAGAGAGAGGGAGAGAGAGAGAAGATTTAATCGCATGGCCATGTAGAGGAACTTAGGCTCAGATTGCAGTTCTGCATTGTGCTGCGTTATGCATATTGTAAAGCTATCAAACGAAAAATTAAAATCAAGTATACTTGTTTTATAATCAAACTAAGGTTAGACAAAATATATTATCCAACTATCACGTCTCTCCAAGTTGTTCCATATTTTTAGAACACAATAATACCGTTGTTTGAAACATAATATTATTATATATTAAATGGAAAGCAATTTGCCAGACACCAAAATGCCTAAAGCAGTTGCACCAAATAAAAGGATAACAATCCGCTGCAATGCCATACGGAGACTTGTAGGCACAAGGTGCATTTGATGCACTTGGTCCACAAATCACATTTAGTGCAAGGTACAAAAATTATACGAGTGTCAGAAACATGAGGCACCTACAACAAGAACATAAAAAAGAATCCTGCTAACCCCATCTCATCCCTCTCGGTCTCCCTTTAGATTCATGACCCACAAGTTTGTCTTTGACTTCAGACTGAATCTGAGAGCATGGAAAATGGCATTGACCCATGATCCCAATGACTATCCATAGAACATTGCTCATGCAAGAACTAAATGTGGATAAAACAGGATCAGAGAAGACCATTTTGCATACTTGTATTTAAGAAGAACACTCTGCTGTAGAATCTGAATATTTGTTTTCGGTTTTCTCAAGGCATAGAACTTTTGGATGACAAATTCAAAAATCTGCAAGAACAATTATGAACGCATCAGTCATCAGCCATAAAACTCTTTAGTAGCTTTCTGCAATTGGATTGGCTAGATATAAAAATTCAATCAGCAAGATGCCATGAATCCAGGGACATTTTATTAAAGTTCAAGTTCATACTCATGAATAAACGAGACATTTTTTTTCCAATCTTGCCTTCCCAAACATATCTAAAGCCTGATAAAGTTTCAGAGAAATCCAGAGGGACATTGATGTGACTTCTTACTTCAAATGACCAAATCTACAATGGCTTGTATTTGCTCTGGAGTACGCTATCAAGTATGAACTGAGCAATAAACAGAGGTAGCAGAAATTAGGGCAACTCCTAATTTTAAATGAACCATTATGGCTAGTACATTTGATGGTAAAGTGACACACTGGTTGCCATCAAATGTACCAGATAAATTATTAGCCAACATAGCTGCATCTTTCTTAGTAACACCAAACTGGTTGCCATCAAATGTACCAGATAAATTATTAGCATATCATTCTAGTTAATGGTGGACATACCAGGCACTTTCAATTGACTCATTTCTATGATATTACTGAGCCAATTATCTCTATTGAACTGAGATGACATAGCATGTATGAACTAACCAACCTTGCAAACTCAGAAAGCACAAAGGCATGACACATAATCCCCTCAACCCACATAAAACAGATGCTGAAAGCCATAGATTGTTTCCTATAATTATTTTGACAAAAATAAGCATGTACGAAAGATGAAACGCACATACACCTTCAGCATGATATAAATCCTAGACCTGCTCACACTCATAAGAAACTAGAAGTAATAAACTAGTGATTGTTCTTCAAACCTTTGAGACTGCTTTCTGCCTAAGTCTCTCAACCTCAGGTTGAACATCCTTTAGAGCCTTGGACGATTTAACCATTGCATCAACTTCAATGAACTTGATTTTTCTGCTTAGAGTCTCAAGTGTTTTCATGTATTCGTCATTAACCTGCAGTGTTGATGCATAGGTCATTTTCAGTTCTCAAACAAATTAATCAGAATTAACTGCAAAAGAAGCAAGTTGACTAGGATAACAAAGTAGATCCTTGGGACGGATGACACATCAAACTAACAATTGAAATCTTCTGTTGGAAAAAAATATATCAATCAAAGACAAAGAAAAAAAACAGCTGCACCAAAAAATAATTAAAAAAAGGACAAATCACCTACGAAAGGATATAAAGCAGTTAAACTGAACATTCTCACGGCTGAGCCAGAAGAGAAGAAACCATTGGCATAATGGCATGTTTGGATCTCTTGCCAAGGACTCTGTAATAGTAATACCATAGCGTCTAAAATCCCCTTTTCACTAGCTTTGTGTGTGTGCCTCTGTGATTATGTGTGTGTCGGGGGAAGGGAGCAGACCCACTTATCCATAGCACCCTCTAACACTCTCTTCTTTGCCGCATGTAGGATTAATTCCACCAAATGACTATATTTGGGCCACCACTTAAGGCCAGGGTATTACACCTTGACTAGTCAGAATTGGCTATCTTTCATTGACAAGGATCTCCTCGTCCACAATTACTAGTAAATACAATGTTATGCAAGAAAAAATGAGGCATCCTCACTATCAGGTAGAAGCAAGGCTACGCAAGGGTGGGCAAGAGAACCAAACATGCGCTGCATAACTACACATGGTATTGGTACCATATCAGAAAGTTGCAAGGTTAGCTGCAAACGAACATGAAAGGAATATAGTGATCACCTCTCCATCGACAATTATGTCAATCATTCTTGGAGGCACTATTATATCCTCAACAAATTTTGACAATTTAGACTCTGCAGCCTGCAGTATTTCCAAATGAGTGAGAACCAACATTAGGATCATCAAAGATAATTAAGCATGGAACGAAAGAAATATATAACATGCAAAAAGCTATAAAAACTGTGAAACAATTCCAAGATAAGCTACTTTTGATGATTCAGATGACAGTGACTGCCCTTATAATGTTGCAAAAAGGGCTCATTTTATAATTTCTATGCCATGTCTTGTACTTGAGTCTTGTCTCATTATTTGATAAACAAAAATCTAAATAACAAATCGGTTTGTCCAATTAGTTATAACACATTTCCTTAAAAAAGATACAACACATGGCTGTTCCTTCGGTAACAATTTATGATGCATGATTATTTGTCAGAAGTGTAAGATAGAACCTTAATCGCATATGCAATATTTTCTGAAACATTATATCAAGCAATGGGGTGATCATTCATGTGTCGATATGTAAAGAACTATTGTAGTAACACAGAAACTATGTATGCTCTGGCATCTACTCTTGAGATATTGGAAGGTACAAATTTTAACAGTCATAAAATATCCAAGATGCAACCAATATATGCTAAACCACCAATCCCCTAGATATTTCAAATCAAGGACCTAGTATGCACTCAGATCAGAAAAGATTGAAATGGAGGAATAATTGGATATATGCGGATAAAATGTACAGTATGAAGTGAACCAAACCTTACGATTTTTCAACTTTAATCCCATGTCCATAGATTTCTCCTGAAGGACCTTTATCTCCGAACTTATAGAACCAATTTCTGTCTACCACAGAAGTCAAAAGAATTGCAGAATGACTTAGTGATCGTAAAAGAGTGAGTTACTTTTGTCTATAGGTGAAAGATTAGGTAGAGAAAACAGGAAAAAAAAAGTATAAAGACTTTTTTGGTTTGAGAGGGAACATTGGTCATCCAATTAAATGATAAGAAAGAGTAAATAATAAGCTAAAAATGTTTTGATTCAATTATGTCAATGAACTTCTCGCATGGATCACATAGTAAAAACTAGAAACATTGAGCATAGAATTGTGATACAGGTAAAGAAAGTTCTTCCAAGGAGGTTGCCTTCATGTTATTTAGTTGACAAAAGGACAGCTTAAAAATGCAGAGACATGATCCTGGTGAATTTTCAGGTAGCTCACAGTAGGCAGACTCCTCTTTGAGAAGAAGTTCAGAAACCACGTGAATTGCTAATTGATACAAAGTAATACTAAAGTTTGCACATTCCAAACATGATGATAATATGTTCAGTATAACTACTCATTCAGCTAGCCAGCACACAAGAGAATGCCACAGATAGTTTTGTCAGAACATATGAGAATATGCTTTTACCTGGAATCCAGTCAGAACAGTTTCCATTTGTGACAAAATGTTATCACAGTCACGAATCTGATCATGCAGCGATACCAAGTTTTCACTTTCTCCAATGTAATCCTACAAAGAGGGAACACTACATTTTATCCACTGCCAATTTCTATTTATGAAGCATCAGAAGCTGAAGATCATAAGTTTTTTTTTCCACAACATTTGTGCAATTATTTGATCAACGTAAACTTTCTCTGGTAAGAATAGGCAAGTCATTGGATGGATTCGTAGTCTTATAGCCATCTGGCAAAATAAGCTAAATAATCTTATTTCAAAATAAAATAAAACCATGCTGTAACTGTATTCCTACTCAACGTCAAATTCAAACTGCAGTTCATATTCATATGTATATAAAAAGAGCAGCTCTAGATCAAGCATATTAACTTGGATGATTGACGTGAATGACCATATCATATATAAATACCTGTATAGAATCCAGCTCAATTTGGCGAATGTTGTTCTCGACGCCTTTTGTGTAATCACGCAGTTTGATGCCGTTAGCCAGGATATTTGCCACTTCCTACATCCACACAGAAAAGTAAAATCAGCGATCCACACACAAGAAAGAAAAACAGACGGCTACACTGTTTCTTGCTCGTAATTGATAAGTGAGCTCGGAAAGACAACAATGCAGCACCCAGGGACCTGAGAAGCACGTAGCCCAAAGAGAGCTCAATCGCCAAGCTCGTTACTAGTCTACAAGTAACAAAAATAAATAAGCATCGGATCAACAGGCAGCACCTCGTCGTCCTTGCAGTCGTCGAGCTCCTGCCTCAACCCCTCCAGCGACTCGTCCTCATCACTGTCGAAAAAAAAAAACCAAACCAAATGTTATTCAAAACAGCGCGCAAAGGCTCACGTTCTCGGACGTTATCCACGGGACGAGATCGGGCGGCGCGGCATCCCGTCACCGTCCGTACCTGGCGACATCCTCGTCGAGGGCGAGGTCGCCGACCAACACCCCGAGGTCGAACCGCTCCCTCTGCCCGTCGTGCGCCTCGGCGGCGGCGGGGGCAGCGTCCATGTCGTCGTCGGCTGCGGCGGCGGAGGGGCTACCGATGGGTGGCGAGGATGCCGGGGATCGCCGGCGGCGGGGTGGCTCCGATCCAGATCTACCACCGGAGGCGGTGGTGTCGGGATCGGATCGGATCGGAGGACGGACGGGGGGGGAGGGAAGTGGGTCGGATCGGTCCCGGCAAAACGAAGATGGGGGAAGAAGAAGAAAGAGAGAGGTTGGGTTGCGAAGGGGGAACGGACGCGTATTGGGCTGGGCTTTCAAGTTAGGAATTTGTAGGCCTATTGCAGTCCAGGAAGGAAAAGGTTCACTCCAAGTCCCTCGTCTTGTCGTCTGAGTTGTAAAATCATCCTTAAACCCAACGCATCTGTAATCTTATAAATCCGGGTCAGTTACAAGACAGTATTGCTTCCGATTTTAGCTAACGTGACGAGCTGACTTCGATCATCCAGACTGAGTCAGAGACCGAGACCCACATAGCATACATACAAAATATTCTACATTAGACCAGTTCTTCCTCTACCACCTTTCCTCCATCTCTCTTCTCTCTCCTCAGCTCACGATTTTAGCGAGCAAGCTATGCCGATGATCATTACAGAGGCCTGACGAGGAAGCACATAATATGCTGCAGGAGGTACACAGCCTCGCTAAGCTATAACGGCGAGTCGGCGATTAAAAAAAAAAAGTGTTCCAGTGTACAATTAATTCGTTCTATATAGATTCATTTTTCAAGTGAAAAAGAGCCTTTTGTAACTCTTTATGTAACACCTTGACTACCATTAATACAATAGTTATAAGGTAGAGTCTCTCTACCTTTTTCAGTCAAAAAAAAAAGTGAAAAAGAGACATATCAGCGTTTTTACAACAGCAGCTATATTTGTTACAGCTCCTTGCGTACAACACTTTGATTGATGGATTGCACAAGGAAAAAAGATAAGGCATTGTTTAGATCAAAAAAAATTTAGCCAAAAACATCATATCAAATGTTTGGTCACATGTATGGGGCATTAAATGTGGAAAAAAACAATTGCACAGTTTGCATGTAAATTGCGAGACAAATCTTTTGAACCTAGTTGTGCCATGATTTGACAATGTGATGCTACAGTAAATATTTACTAATAACGGATTAATTAGGCTTAATAAATTCGTCTCACAGTTTACAGGCGGAATCTGTAATTTGTTTTGTTATTAGTCTACGTTTAATACTTTAAGTGTGCGTCTGTATACTTCAAAAACTTTACACCCAAAGAACTAAACGCATCCTAAAGCTGTGTTTGGATGCCCTTTTCCCAACCCCTCTCTCTCGTTTTCCACGTGCACACTTTTCAAACTGCTAAACAGTGTGTTTTTTGCAAAAAAAAAATGTTTCTATACGAAAATTGCTTAAAAATCAAATTAATCTATTTTTGAAAAAAAATAGCAAATATTTAATTAATCACGTGCTATTGTACCGTTATGTTTTCCGTGATCACTGTTCCGGATGGGAACTTATTCTAGCGAACTGAGCCTACTCCCTCCGTCCCAAAAAAAAAACAAACTCTGAGTTTCCGTGTCCAACGTTTGACCATCCGTCTTATTTAAAAAAATCAAAAAGACAAGTCACATATAAAGTATTAATCATGTTTTACCACCTAACAACAATGAAAATACTAATTATAAAAAAATTCATATAAGACGGATAATCAAATGTTGGATACGGAAACCCAGGTTTATCTTTTTTGGGACGGAGGGAGTAAGTATGTTCCAACTTCCAAGAGAATGTACTGTTCGTATACATGCCCCGTACGTAGCTATCTGTCGTATACATCCCCACACGCATCAGAGCAAGTTTAATAGTATAGTTCACTACTAACTCCAATTCATTTATTGCCAATCTAATAGTCAATTCATACAATAGTTGCTTACTATACTAATAATATATGGTCCCACCTGTCATACACATATTACGTCTTATAGTCCGTGTTGTAACTGGCTATAGATCTATAGCCCGCTACTTTTCTCTTTTATCTTTTATCTTATTAAAATATATTTGTAGTTGGTTAATAGTCTGTTACTATACCTGCTCTCACGAGACAATGCATATATATGTGCATGCATGTGCCAGCCTGCTTGTTGGTTTGTAGTGGCAGCCGTTTTGTTGGTTTGTAGCTAGCTCGGCATACGACCGGCTGCTAAGAGCAAAAGTTTAATAGTATAGTTAACTGCCAGCTTCAAATTATTTATAGCTAATTTAATAGCCAATTCATCTAATAGTTGTTTATTATATTATTAATATCTGATCTCACCTGTCATACACACATTACGTCTTGGAGTCCGTGTTACAACTGGCTACAAATGTGTAGTGTGCTACTCTTTCCTCTTTTCTTTTATCTCTTTAAAATATGTTTATAGCTGGCTTATAATCTGTTATTGTACCTGCTCTAAGTTCGATCGTGGATGATCGATCATTCGTCAAATGTTACCACGTCCAGTGACTTATCCATGGTTCACCTTACTATAAAAAATGATTTTTACGGACAACTCCTTTAATTTTGTTCAAACGGACCAAAGAAACCCGTATGTAAAAAGGTTGGGAATATCTGATCCCGTATGTAAAAAGCTTGGAATATCTGATAGAGGGCAAACTTGTGAAAATTGTTTTTTTAAGATAGACCTCTTAACAAGCCTACTTGCAAAAATCGACCTATTTACACAGACGGACTTGTTAAGAGACTTGTCTACGAAAATCGGTGGATAGCATGACCGGTCACAATACTTCCCCTATAATTTTTTAATCCTCCTAGATAAACCCTATCTCTCTCTCCATGTTCTTTGCTTTCCATCTATAGTCTCGCATCCCTCATCACCTCCCATTCCTCTCTCTCACCCCCTGCTCAGTGGGAGCGCAGCTGGCGATGGCACCACCAGTGACGAGGGGCCAGAGGCCTCGCATGTGCACGGAAGTGACAATGGCGCCACATTATTAGCATGGGAGCAGCGGCGGCGATTTCGTCGGGACACGCTGCAATTGGCTCTAGTGACGGCACCCTTGAGAGGACATGGTAGCGGTGGCGGCCTCAGGAGTGGTGGGGCACGGTGGCAGAACTCCGGCGGTGGCAAGCCACCACACAGCGACAGATCCACCACCACCGACCTTGGGAGTAGCGGGGCCTCAGCGGTGACGACGATGGTAGATCGAAGCTAGGGTTTCTATTTTTTTTGCTGCAAAAATCACTTTTTACACATGGGTACATGTATGTTTTTTACATACACCTAGTGTTAGGTGGGCCGTCCACCCGTTCGCAAAGATCATTTATGCAGTCGTCATGATAGGAGATGGAACCATGGAGGCATATATGCAAGTATTTGGCCAACATGTCCAATGTCCACCAGATTGGGACGTCAATCCTACCCGTGGTATGGGTATATTACCGTGCGCCTGATATTTACGTACGCTGGTTTAATATATTTTTAAAAAATTTGCTACATACTCCCTCCGTCCCCAAGGTTGGCTTTTTTTTTTTGAGGGAGAGAGTAATATTTAGAGTTTGTGGTTTTTGTTATTGAACACCTTAAAAGGCATGAAACGACTTGTCGGAGAACGAATCTCCTCTAGCAGGGAAGCAACGAACCTCCCAAAAAAAAACAAAAAAAAACTCCTCCTTTCATGATTCAACCAAAGGGCAATTTGAGATCGAGCCTACTTTGTGTGATGAACTCAAAACACAATCAAGTATACTTGTGTGATGAGCGGTGAGCCAGATATGTTCCTGCTCTGTCCGTGCTCGACTCAATTCATTGTCAACCCTAGCGATTTCCATTAATGCAATGACTATATGAAATGCAAAGATGTACTATATGACTACTAGTTGGATGCACAATAGTGCTACTATGGAACCCCTTTTCCCCTCTAAATAAGTAGCGCATCCCTAGGCAAAATGACTTTCCAATAATCACAGTTAGTAAGGGATGCATGCATATGCATGATATAGTGATGTCTGTTAATCGTGGCAAATTGGCAATGCAATTTGTTGTTGAAAAATACCAAGATGCCAATACTACGCCCACTTCCCGCGCGCTCTATATAAAGCCATGCGCTCCCATCGCTTCTTCCTCACAAACTTTCCCTCAATCAGTCAATCTGTATACAGCAACTCAGCGATCTTATATTTACCCAACACACCATGAGAGCGCTCGCTGTGGTGGCCATGGTGGCCACGGCCTTCCTCGCGGCGGCCGTGCATGCCGAGCAGTGCGGCAGCCAGGCCGGCGGCGCGGTGTGCCCCAACTGCCTCTGCTGCAGCCAGTTCGGCTGGTGCGGCTCCACCTCCGACTACTGCGGCGCCGGATGCCAGAGCCAGTGCTCCGCCGCCGGCTGCGGCGGCGGCGGCCCGACCCCGCCGTCCGGCAGCGGTGGCAGCGGCGTCGCGTCCATCGTGTCGCGCTCGCTCTTCGACCAGATGCTGCTCCACCGCAACGATGCGGCGTGCCCGGCCAGCAACTTCTACACCTACGACGCCTTCGTCGCCGCCGCCAGCGCCTTCCCGGGCTTCGCCGCCGCGGGCGGCGACGCCGACACCAACAAGCGCGAGGTCGCCGCGTTCCTTGCGCAGACGTCCCACGAGACCACCGGCGGGTGGGCGACGGCGCCCGACGGCCCCTACGCGTGGGGCTACTGCTTCAAGGAGGAGAACGGCGGCGCCGCCGGGCCGGACTACTGCCAGCAGAGCGCGCAGTGGCCGTGCGCCGCCGGCAAGAAGTACTACGGCCGGGGTCCCATCCAGCTCTCCTACAACTTCAACTACGGGCCGGCGGGGCAGGCCATCGGCGCCGACCTGCTCGGCGACCCGGACCTCGTGGCGTCCGACGCCACCGTCTCCTTCGACACGGCCTTCTGGTTCTGGATGACGCCGCAGTCGCCCAAGCCGTCGTGCCACGCGGTCGCCACCGGCCAGTGGACGCCCTCCGCCGACGACCAGGCGGCGGGCCGCGTGCCGGGCTACGGCGTCATCACCAACATCATCAACGGCGGGCTGGAGTGCGGCCATGGCGAGGACGATCGCGTCGCCGACCGGATCGGCTTCTACAAGCGCTACTGCGACATCCTCGGCGTCAGCTACGACGCCAACTTGGATTGCTACAGCCAGAGGCCCTTCGGCTCCTAAGCTTCGCCTACCTAGCTTCCACACAGTGATAAATAATCACTGATGGAGTATATGTTTACACCATATCGATGAATAAAACTTGATCCGATCGACGACGATGATCAGTAATGCACGACGAAGCGATTGGTAAAATATAATGTATTATATGGAAAGAATACAGTACCACTTGATTAATATTGTATGGAAAGAATACAGTATCATCGAGTGGACAAAAATCGGAGAGCGTGAAATCATAGCTACTACTAATTGATGTGCAGCATACCCATGAAAGATATTCCGATATACATCAAAATGGGATTAATTCAGCCCAATCGATGTACACGTCCACGTCTAACTATGGTAATCAAACCCATGAATAAGAACTTGTAGTCTCTTAAAATACTACAACGATAATTTAGTCCGTATATTTGTTTTGCATTAAAATATTATTATATTTTTTATTAACTTGATTAAACTTAAAATAGTTTGACTAGAAAGAAAATCAAAACGACTCATAATTAATATGAAACAGAACGAGTAGCAATTATTGACACTATCCAATGTCTTTCTTCCTTCGACTGGTTATGGGCAGTCTTCGGATTACTAGATCCTTCAGAAATATTTTCTTCATGTTTGGGAATTAGTTATATAACGGGATGATGAATGGGAAGTGGATTTTGATCCCTCGAGGGATTCCCTCATTGTTTGCATGTCACTCAAATAGTTATGAAAAAAATTTGACAAGATGTATTAACATGTGATATATCACTCTGCAAATATGCAAGTTCAAATTCAACTTATACATCTCGCAATGAAAAAAAACAAATTTAATTGTGAATATATGTTAACTACCTATGGTTTAATTTGTTTTTCGTTACGAGATGTAGAAGTTGAATTTGAACTTGCATGTTTATGGAGTGTTATATTACATGTTAATACATCTTTTTAATTTTTTCTAATTTTTTTATAATCATCTAAGTGACATGCAAATAACAATGGGATATTCCCTCGAGGATCAAAAATAGTTTCCCCGATGAATGTAAGGTTTGAGGATTTTTTTTTCGCGTGGCTGCTTTATGTTGGGTTAACTAATTGTGTTGTTTCTGCAATAGCAATGACACACTATACTTTTTTGTTTTGCACTACGTCTGTCAAAAAAAAACAATATAGTATTGGATATGTGGCGTTTCTTAGTACAACGAATCTGAACTATTATGTTGGTTTTTTTTTACGGAGGGAGTATGTTGTTTGGTTAAATAAAAATGATATTGCTTTTTAGAAAAGACGAAAAAAAACTGCATGTCTAACCCTATAAATGGCTGATTTTCATGTGTTATTTGGATGAGTACGTTTTTAGTCTTTGCTCAAAATGAGGCATGACAATCAGTCATTGTTACGTCAAGTCTCACTTGTTGGAGCAGACAACAATAGAGGTGTTCTTCAATGGTGATGGACAGAGACGTGGCAACCGGATTTGCGAAAGTTGTTTCTCTTTCATATCGAACTTTTGCCAAACTTGTTTGTGTGGTACGGTAGTTCTACTGTAATAGTGTTGATCGCTGTGTATACCATGGTCAGAATGTTTTGAAAGAAATACGAAGAAGGGTTTTTTTAATCATTATATATCCTGTAATTATCATGGAAAACATTTCGTTTTAATTTGGAACGGGGGGTGAAATAGCTGAGTGGACTAAATAGACAGAAACTCAGAATGTGATAGATAGATGCATGCATGCATGTATGCGTTCGTGGAATTCCATCGATTTCTGGCAGCAAATCAAAGATGCCTGCATGCGAACGGCAAGGTGCAGATGAAGTGATGTAGAAGTAGCTAGCTAGTCAACGAGGACTAGCTATAGCTAGCGCTAGTTAGACCATTAATTCACAATGCTCCCATGTGGCATTCAACCTAGGCACACCGAACCGAATATTCGGTGCCATTTCCTCCACCAGCAGAGCTTTTCCAAGACTGCGTAGCTCTTTGCCATCGGTTCCTCATCAGTTTTTCAGGAAGAGAGAAAGAGAGAAGAGGAGAGGGATGCGTCGTCGTCCCCATGCTCCACGCCGCCGCGGGGAGGAGGACGACCGGACGCCGTCCTCGCCGGAGAAGCTCGCCGGCTCAATAGGGGGAAAGCGACGGCGGCGGTGAAGATCGATTTGGCATCGGCGAACTCAGAGAGAGAAAGAGGGGAAATTCGGCGAGTTGTCACTCCGCCCGGCTCCGCGAGGACCACCGACGGTTGGGGGAGTCGGCCGCGTCCGCCGGTGAGGTTGACCTCGATCCGCGCCGCTGGGAGCTCACCCGCCACGCTAGGCTTGATCCGCGGGGCCGCGTGAGGCCACTCCATGGACGTCGTCGCCGAGACTTGCCTCGGGGTCCTCCGCCGCCGACGATGTGGGGAGTGGGGACTGGCAGTGGGGAGGAGAGGCGCCGCTCGGGGGCGTCAGCCGAGAAAGGGGAGGAGAGGCGCTGGCCGGGGGAGGAGATCGAGGCTCCGCCCAGGCGGCCGGGGCACTGGCGTGAGGGGAAGAGGAAGTGGGTGTGAGGATAAGGTGAGAGAAATGATTTTTTTATAGTTGTGTGGATCCTGTTTGAGGCTACATAGCACTGTGAAACTTGTGACAAGTATTATTCTTCTTGTGTTTTTATCCTATGTGGTAGCCCCAGGCTCTGCAAAATAGGTGGCGCACTGCTAATGCCATTAATGCGCAGAGCGCGGCCAGCAGGAACAATAATGCCCACGTGCATGAAACATCTCAAAGTCGTCTTGCACTGTTGCATTAGGTACGTTTACGTACACAGTAATACTAATTCATTATACATACTACTACTAGCAAGAGCTAGAGCTAGCTGGATATTTACCGCAAGTGGTATATTACATGGTCAACTAGACCATGTACGGAAGCAATTCGCCCATCGATAATTAGGGTATGTTTAGTTCACGAACGAAAAATTTTTGATATGTCACATCAGATATACATGTATATATATTTGAAGTATTAAATATAGACTAATAACAAAATAAATTACAGATTCCGTCTGGAAACTGCGAGACAAATTTATTAAGCCTAATTAATCCATCATTAGTAAATGTTTACTGTAGCACCACATTGTTAAATCATGAAGAAATTAGGCTTAAAAGATTCGTCTCGTAATTTACGAAATCTGTGTGATTAATTTTTTTATATATATTTAATACTCCATACATGTGTCCAAACATTCGATGTGATAGGGTGAAAAATTTTTATTTAGGAACTAAACAAGGCCTTAAGCTAGAGGGATATATCCATGTCCTCCTAATCGATGCGGACCAAGTCGAAACTTGACATACACGACTGGCTAGCTAGGATTAAATTAATGCAACAAGATATGCTACTGTCAACAGTCGTATCATCCAATCAGGCGAGAGTTATGAGAGAAAGAGAGAGCAATGTGTGTACCGAGCCATCTAGATCTTATAAATATACTCCTAAACTAAGACTTATGATGGCATGAGAATGGAGGCCCCCGTGCGCTCGTGAAGAGCAACACGGGCGGCGACCCATGCCGCTGCAACTCCAACCCCCCCACCCCACCCCACTTCCCTCCCTTCCCCCTTGCCATGCCGCCGGAGCCAGCCTGGGCGCAGTGATGATGCAACGGCAGTCGCCGCCGGTAATGGAGGATGAAGTCGTGGGCGGTATGGTTGGATCTGTCCAGATCCATCGGTGGCGCACCCGGATATGGCTAGTTAGGGGCGGGTAGCATCACAAACCGTATAGGTGGTGGGGGTAGCCATGGTGTCAAGCTGGAGTGGAGGAGGCCGACGGCTGCTATAGGTCGGGCTAGCGACCGAGCTCTTGGAGGTGGCAACAACAGGAATTCTTCCTTGTCGTGGTTAGGCACGATGGTGGCTTGGAGCTAGCATGAAGGGCAGCGGTAGCCAGCTTGGCTTAGACTAGGCTAAAAATAGCCAGTCATGGCGGTGGCGTGGCTTGTTAGAGGAGGCAAAGCTATACCTTGCTGCCAGCCAGTCATGGTCGATGGTGGTCAGGAGAGATAAAGGTATAGAGGGTGATGGAGGGTCGCGTCCCTTGATGTTGGCCGAACACTCTCTCTTTTTTTTTTTGGAGCTCCACTTCTCCTTCCGTGGAGAAGGTAGTAGTGGGATAACAAGGGTAGGCTTGGGCCACCGAGACATCGCTGCCCAAATCTAGACTCTCTTTGACCGGATGTGGCGAGCAGGCTACTGGATAGCGGATCAGAGGGATCCTGAGGTAGTGCACAGGGGAGCGGTGGCATGGTAGTAGGCGCTAACGATGAGGCATGGTGGTGGTGTGGGTTGTCTTCCTAATGGTTGGCTTGATATCCTATCTATTTGTCGAGCTCCTCCCCCCTCTCAGTAGGGAGCTCTGTAACAGGATGAAGAACAGGGTGAAGGTGGCGCATGGAAAGTTTTGGGCTGCCAAGACAACACAACTCCAACCGATCTCTCCTTGGTCGGATCTGGTGAAGAGGCTAGTGGAGATCTGAGCCAGCGTAGCGAGGAGTGGAGATGGGCTAGAAGGCGTTGATGGCGGAGAGCAGTTGCGGAGGACGTCTAACCATTTTCCCAACATTTTGGATGGACTTCCTTCAATCAACCGTGAAAAAAAAAAGGCTTATGGGCCGTTCAGTACGTATAATTAATTAGCCCAAGCAGCAGCTCAGCCCATTCCTAACCTTGCACGCATCAGTTGCACTGTTCTCCATGTGGTTTAGTCACGTTGCCTGAATTATTTTGGCTCGTCAGATCAGAGCTGAAGGACATATATTGGATTCTATTTTGTACTGGGACTAATTAACCATAATATATGTTAATAAATTTTCACCTGAGAATTATCAAGTGTAAATATAGTATAGTCGTAGTAACTTATATATTACACCCTCCATTTCATAATATAAGGTACAAATACTTTTAAAAGTTGTTTCATAATATAAGGCGTGTATACATTCATGCCATTAACTGGCACCACTTTTCCACTAAAATATTATTATTTAAATCCTCCACCATCAAGATCTCTAATTTTATTGGGTGCATGCATTCTACTCCCTCTGTTTTAGGTTATAAGATATTTTGATTTTGGTCAAAGTCAAACTGCTTCAAATTTGATCAAGTTTATCGAAAAATAGTAATATTTTCGACCCAAGATAAATTTATTATAAAATATATTTAATTACTAATTTAATAAAACTAATTTGGTAATGTAAATATCA